ACAATCCATTTAGAGGAGTATTGTATATCTGTTCCAACTATCTCATTGCATGAAATATGAAAATGCATTTGAGTTGTGCATGGCATTTCACACATAATCTAAACTTTAAGCATGATTCAAGATCTAAAGGGTAATTTTCATAAGAAAAAAATACACATTTTTGGAATGAAATCTGTACTCGCTGCCTTTTTTTTTTTTTTACTATATTCTTGGTATCTCTTCCTCTCTGGAGATCTGGTCTGGACTTGGCAAATTCTGTGATTTCCTTAGATTTCTGTTCCAATACTGTCAGGAAATTATTTTCTTTTGTGAGGCCTTCATCCTCTGAATATATTTATAAGTACTTACAGAAGGCACCAATATGTGGGATTCAGGGTTGTTTTAGTGTCATTACTCCTGCTTCTGCTTTGCCCAGTGGATGAGGAAGTGCCAGAAGTTGTACTATGCTATTCCACTTCGAAGTAAAAGCTTTTAGAGGTCTGATTTTTGCCTCATAGAGGAACATTTAGGAGTAATTTAAAAATAACTGAGGATTTTGTTTGGTTCCACAAATTGTTTACATTTTGACTTGAAAAACTGAAGGAAAAAGAAACGGAGGACAGCAAAATAAAATCCCAGGGTACGCCATTAAGAAATTGCACTTTTGAGATTCCAGCCTAACCTGCATCAGTTTTTCTTGCATATTATTCTAATTAGCTTGGATCTCTCTCACATTCCTGTTTACATTTCTTTTTAATAGGTCTTTCTGATTCAATATTTTCCTTCTCTTTACGAATTTAATGCAAAGTGGCATGTGGTGTGAGGTGCCAGATGTGGATTACTTACTTGCCTCTGAAGCAAATAACACACAGAATAAGTGCAAGTATTAGGGAAAAAGGGCAGTACCTTATATTTGGTTGGAATCATAGTTCAGAAAATACAGACAAATATTCAGAAGAAAATCTGTGTTTTCTAATAATAAGGGCATAATATTTTAAGAAAAATTAAAATCTAGGATGAGAATAATTATTAAAGTAAAAAAATCAAGAAAAAGTTGATAATCTTTTACCAACATAACTATATGGCTTTCAAAACAGATGCAGCAATGGTGGTAACCAAACCAAGCATGCATTCTTATGTTTGTTATATTATTGGTCTTTCTGATCAGCTCTAACCATTCTAGACTATTATTTTGTGTTATATTAAAAAGAACTATATTATTATTATTGTATTAAAATCAGTTATAAGTATACACATCTCTGTACTTTTTAGATATTCCCATTGAATATAGTATAGCTAACAGAAGTGAAGCTTTCAAAATGAATTATAGTGACTAAAAAGTTTCTGAATAGTGGTAAGAAATAATGTAAGTAAAACATGCTGCTGTGACTTTTATAGCCAGGTGATACAGAATTCCAGTAGTAGAAAACATTTATATTCCATAGAATTACAGAGCAAATGCTCTAGTTTTTGCAAGGGCAACGCTCGTTGCTTGTGGAACGGGCTACAAGATGTTAAGTTAGCAGCAGCGTAGCTGTTCCTGCCTGAATTTGTACTTTTTAACAGCTTTAATAGATAATCTGTGTCCATTCTGGTTTGTGATATTGCTTATGCCTGGAATTATCTCCCTCACTTGCTTTTAAGAAGGACAAGAATTTTTTTTCTTCCATCAGTCTGCAAAAGGTAGTCCCCATAAGAATTTTTCCACTGTACATATCGACACGGCAAGAGTTGGGTTCTGAGTCCCTAGTCCAGACTGAGGACCTACACACAGAATTTAAATGTAGCAAATACAGAAAGATATGATATGTCAGAAAAGAGGTTATGTAATGAAGAAGCACAAGTAAAATGGTTTGTTTGATTGTTGATAAAGTGCCATGTGTGTTCACAAAAAGAAGGGGATTTAAAAATTAAGAGAGTTCAACTTTTAATTTTTTGAAAGATATATAAATACATATGTTTGTTAAGATGGGTAAAATTATTTATTTTGTGAAACTTTTTGATGTATTCTGGAACAGATGAACTCATTATTTATCCAAGTACTTAAGGACTAAATTGAACAGGGATTTTTTGTGTATGTGTGTGTTTCCTGATAAACCTGGCTGTTCTGTTTCTGTGTTTCTGTGCTTACTGGTTTCCAGTTCCCCTGTCCTGTGGGAACAAAGAGGAATCTATTTTTATTGTTTGATTTTCAACACGAGAAGCTTCTTCTAACTGTCAGGGAAATGCCCTTCCTAAACCACAATGAATCAAAACCTGACAATTGGTTCTTAGACTGTTTTTGTTACTGTTGCAAACCTAAACCCCCAATAGGAATATTCCCACATGAGTGTGATGGATCCACGTTCCGTCTTCTGTTTTACATTGTGAGTCTTTTTAGTGTACTCAGCATGCAATTTAAAGCCTGGTTTTTGACAAATGCAAGGTGATCTAATGTTGTAAAATATTTGAATGGTATAAAGGGACATTAACAAAATAAAGTTTTCTGTGCAAGTGGTGCAGAGAAATGAGGAATTGGTCTTGCAGATTGTTGCTCCTGTGGTCTGGTAAAGGGTCACTATTGTACTAGCTGGCATATGTGGAAGTGTCTTAAGGTGTTGAGTGGTACAGTAACACTAAGCACGAGACCTATGTTCAATAATATTTATATTGTAGACATGCTTTGTCTTTGCCAATTCTTATTTCCATTGTTTATCACCATGTTTCAGCATGACTTTGTAGCAGGTTGCAAACTGACTGCTTTGCTAGCTAACTTGGCAATTCAAATTTGAAGTCTCTGTTCTGTAATTCCTCTGGTAGGTTGCCTGTTTTATATGTTTTTCTCTTCAAAGTAAGTAATATGGTTTGTCATTTCCCAGCTCTGGGACCTTTGCTTTTCTCCATTAGTTCTGAAGAATAATAGCCAGTTACTCCAACACTATTTCTGCAAGTTCCATTAACACTCTGGGATATATTCCATCTGAATTCTGTGAATTTTCTTTGGTTGCAATAAATGTATTGTATATTAAAAGATCAGTTATTGCATTACTTAAGAAAGTCTGGGTAAATCTGTTCTGATGGATTATTTAGAAAGAAAGCTAGGAATGTGTGTATTAGTGTCTGGATGGCAAAGTGAGAGCTGCATTTACGAAGGACAACTGAACTGCTGCAATGATTCTAAGGGACAAAAATGTAACATAACACTACCCACCAGCTGAACTGCCAAAGGGTACATTTGGGGTTGTTGCACACAAATGAATTGTCTTTATTAATAATAACTTTAATTATTTATATAAATAATAACTAGTAGTTAAAATTGGAATAGTGACCAAAAAATCTATTTTGAAAATTCTTATTGTTAGCATGAAAGTGCTCCTTGGTTATAAACCTGACCCTTCCCTATTACATCTGCTTGATTAGTCCTGCATCTTCATTTTGAAGTCAAGTTTTAATGAACTTTGTTGTCCTTTCTCCTTGTCGTGTGTTATGTACATTTAATTATAATATCGGAGATCAATGATCCTTACATTTATTTTCCTAGACTATATCACGCCATGACAAGATTTTGAAATGCTTTTAAGCAGTTTTGCCCTTCAGCTGTAAATTGTGATTCTGTACTTCTTCATTAATGATCTTGGAGTGCTTACATAACTACTTAAGAGAAAATATTAAATGTGAGATGGTTCCATTAATTTAAGAGCAGGGACATTCTATTTAGACTCCCTTTCCTTGCTCAAGGAGTACAGCATTTTTCATTTTGATAAATGATTTACCCTGTTATAACTTTTTTAACTAATGGATATAGAAAAAAAAAACCTGTTAAATAAAAATGATATGACAAAAAAGTATGACATTCACTTTATTTTATACAGAAATGAGTGTAGCACAAAGTGATTTTATTGAACTGTAACAACAAAATATTGGAAGTTCAGTGCTGAATTGGCCTTGAAATTTATTTCTTGTGTCATATAGATCCTTTTGCCTCCAGATGAAGGTTCAGTTAAAGACCCACACCACTAGCAATGCAATCCTATAGGGTATTAGGTTCCTTTCCCTTTTCTGATGGGTGCATCAAGTGTTCTTACCCGGAGCACCAGTTTCAGTGTCCCAGATTTGTATTGCAGTTGGATGTTAATCAGAAGGGAGAACTGTCTCCCCTCTCACCCCTGACATGCTACCTGAGAGGTTATTACAGTTGTTGCTACAAAAAGGTCATATCCAGAAATCTATTTTGCTATAATTGTTCCTGTGGTCAGGAAGAAGGCTGTTGTTTCCAAGGAAGTGAGCAGTGTATAAAGTGTAGGGATAAGGGTTTCTTACTAGAAATTTTAACTCTTTCTGTTTTTGTTTTTCTTTTTTTTTGTGATTTTTTTTTTTGTTTGTTTTTTGTTTGGTTTTTGTTCGATTGGTTTTTTTTTGGGTTTTCGTTTTGTTTTGTTTTGTTTTCATTGTTGTTGTTGGGAGGTTTGTTTTTTTTTTTTGTGGTTTTTTGTTTGTTTGTTTTTGAATAGGCTTCTGTGAATAGGCTTCTGAAATATTTCATCTAACCAAGTAATTTAATGGTCTAACATCAGGTGTGTTACAGTTTGTGATCAATAAGTAGTAAGTATCAAGACTGAGATTTTCAAAGGGTCTGAAGAATAATTACACATTCATCTCCCATTAAGTTCTGAATGCCTTTGAAAATTTTAGTCATGCTTATCACTGGACTCTACTCAGAAAAGATTGGGTTGTATTATTTCAGAGAGTGTCATCTGCATATTGAACTAGCTAAAGTATTAGAACAGTAATCAATTAAATCTCTCCAATCCAGACACCTTGTACTGTTTTTAATCACATCCAGAAGCTCCACAGTTTATGAGCCTACATACATCTCAACCTTTTAACTTGCTGAAGCTCCCAGTTCCATCCTGATGTGTTTCACTTAAGTAATAAAAGTAAAGCAATCTGTGCAGGTTATTACTGTGAATGTCAGTCACATTTATATGTATATCAGAGGAAAGATATTGGTCATTATACACTTTTTTCCCCTCCTTTTTCAGCTTCAACTGCTGCTGTAAGAAGCATCAAAAAGCATCGAGCATTTGAAATGGCTTTCACATTATTTCCTTTTCTTGCTGCAAAGCTTAAGAACCTGATTACAGTGCTGCTACCATGGGTGCATCATTTCATGGATGAAAAAGATGGATCCAAGATATTAAGTAAAATTTTCAACTCCTCAGAAGGATATTAATTTAATGAAGGGCATAAAGTTTTTGTACCTTCCACATCATCTATTTGAACTTGTGTATATGCTATATACATCTCCACAAACAAATTTGGTATCACTGTCCTTGCTGCTGAAGAACTGATGTACACTTTCCAAAACTGAGTTAGTTTACCTACTGGCTCCCCATAGGGTGAGATAAAATCCTTAGCTTCCAACACAAACCCTACCAGTTCAGCTACTGAGCATCACTCTTAACCTGTAGTACTTTTTCTATGTGAGTTAATATTAAGCAGGGCATGTTTGGTTGTAATCTCTTTGAAGGTTCAAATTCAGGAGCAGATATGTTTTTCTGGCACTTTTTTGGTCAGGATCATGGGCAGAGTGACTCCACATTTACGTCTGGATGTGTAGAAAGAATCCAGTGTGTATGCTGAAGTGGGGGGGGTGGAAAGGGTAGAGGAGAGAAAGATACCTCTTCGGGTTGTGCTATCATTGAGAGCTTCTGTGAAGTCTAAGCTGATACACTTAGCTTGTCTCAGGGAATCATTCCACTAAGAAATGTATGAAGGCTGCAGTAAGGGTTTGTGTAAGCAGGAGGGAGGTCAAAATAAAGGGAAACAAATAAATCAAGAACCTCCACAAAACTATGACGTGTAGAAGGCTTTAGTTCTTAATGTCAGAATAAAAATATTTTTCCTGACAAGAAGTTTGGAGTCAGATAAAACAGCAGAATAAAGTCTGTATGGAAAATGGTCCATGGTTTACACTTATACACTTCCCCCTTACTTTGCCAGGTAATAGCAGCCAAGCTGTATTTGAGAAATTCAAGACAAAATCTTGTCAGTTACTCCCACACCTTCATGGGATTTTCCTGCAGTTCATTTATGCTCTAAACTTATTTTTAGGATTAGCCCAAAGACAGCACTCTGTAGGTTGCACAAAAATGTGAAATTTAAGGACACCGAAAGAGGAACGCCCATCTCTACAAGCATGCGTTATTTTTTCAAATGAATATGTAAGTCAGAAGTTTGGTGGAAAGAAGGAATAAGTGGCAAAGGAGAGTGGGAGCCATCCCTGGTCCAGACGTTTAGTGTTCTTGTTCTGCATTCAGATGAAAAGAGACCTGGACTGAAATTAAGAGAGTTATGCTCATCCTTGGTACATTAACAAGACCTACTCCTTCTCCCATCACTTTTTGCAAGTGTCCTCGTGACAGCTGCAGTGCTGAAGGAATTACTATTCAAAAAATAACTTTCTATCTCACTTGAACTTCAAGGTGCCAGATCTGTTTTAAAACTAATTTTTCATTACTATTTTTTCCTAGGTAATAATTCATGACTCTAGCAGCTGTAAGCCTGCCTCTGATTGAAAATGAAATGTCAAAGAATTTTTTTTTCCTGCAACATAAAAGGTACTTTTAAGGCAAATATAAAAAAGCTTTCCCCTGTTTTTGATGTACCATTAGCACTGTCTTTAACTATGCTTGAACCAGTACCATGATATGTTGAATTATATTTTCTTTGGGGCAGATCCCCGTCTACTGGAAGCAGTCATAAATTCATTGATTTTAATGCAGTAAGGCTGGTATATAAGACTTGTAGACAGGTGCCATTTTTGTGAGATTATTGAAGTCTACCAAGACCAAGTATTTAGCTGCTCACCTCATGCTGGTCAATATTCCAGATAATGACTTTGCATTTAAAATGCTTATTTGGATCTTTGATAGAATATTGGTCTGTCAGATTTTGATTGTAACACTGACAAAAATAGTGGAGGAGACAAGAACAGATCTTCAAATGAGATTATGATGCATATGGTAAGATCTGGCTCTGGAGGCTTTTGAGCTTTTTTGTGCAGTTGACCAGAGTGTTGCATTTTCTTGAGTTACAGCAGATATTAAACTGGTTGACAAGAGCAATGCAGTAGTTGCCTTGAAAAGAGATTAGTCTATTGATGGAGGTCTCTCTGTAGCTCAAAGTCTCCTCTTCCAATAAGCATTTAGCTCTGCATAGCCCTGGAAATTTATTGTGTGGTCCACCGTTAATACTCATAAACACCACAAGATTCATACACCCCTTTTTTACTTGCTGTGCCTATTTCTGTGGCTTCTGAGATACATTGAGCTTTCAGTGGGTAACTCTGAAACAGTGAACACCCACCTACCAACTCCTCTGTAGGCAGGGCTCTCACTATTTGATAAAGATCTAACCTGAGATCCTTCAGCTGTGACTGTATTTAACTCACAAGTGGAAGTTCCTAGAGCCATATATTCACACCACGTATGTAAATCATGGATTTTTTCTTATTTTTCTAATAAGAATTGTACATGTGCTTAAATGAGTAGGAATTAAGCTTTTAAAATTTTTGAAAAAAATAGTATTTTCACAGTGTGTTTTCATAACACTTCCGTACATATATATCAAGTATTATTGTTCCTACATTACCAGTAAGTACTCTGCTAACACCTCTTTTAAGGATGAGTAATCTTCGCTGTATTTTTTAACTGGAAAAGAAAGATAAGATTAATTTCCCCTTGGCAAAAATGACTATATGAAAATGCATCTTCCTACTAAATTTATTTGCCAGCTCTTTTATTCAGATTGCTTTACCGATTAGAGAGTCAGGACATCAAGGTTTAATTCACATTGGATTTTGTCACTGTGGCAAGTTTTGCAAGCATTTCAACTTTCCATATATCTCAGTTTCAATATTTGAGAATGGGACAGTATTTCAAATTCCCTTTCCTGAAATACTTTTAGGTGAAAGAAGGCATGGTTTCCTTATTTAAATAATGGCATGGGTGAATGATCAATACTTTTATTTTACCATGTAAGCAACTTAAAGTAAATGCTAAGCTGTCCAGCTCTATCAATGATGACATAGAGTCAACTTTTCCTTATTAGTCTTGTGGTACAATATTTCCTCTTGATAGTTAAAGGAAGGACACAATTTTTATACTTTATCTATTATGGAAGTCTTGTTTCTCTATGGGAACCCACATACAGGTTTGGGGGTTTTTTGACTGTAAAATAAGACTTTTTTCCAATGTTTTACTGCAATAAAGAAGCAACACCACAAAAAAATTTAATGTTATTGTGCTTGCTGGAAATACATATGTACCTTGAAATTACCAATATTGATAGTACAGCCATGGGTTAAGTGTGGCTAATTCAAATGGTTATAAAAGATTTTTGGAGACAAATCTTTCATTGAGAAACTAATTTAGAAACACACTGTTAGTACCAGAGCCTCTCTGTCTCACAGGTGTAAAGAGTCTCTGCCAGGGATGGTTTCCTGGTGATATTTAGAACAGACACAAATCCATCAACCTTTCCTTTGGTTGCTAGACTAAACTGTGATGAGAAGGCCCTGAAAGTCTTGTGCCCTACCAGTTACAGGAGCTGTAATATAGTAAGGTCTTGCATGTGAGAAGAAGCTTTGTAAACAGGGGGTTAAAAATTCCCTGGGGAAAGAAAGAAGCAGAGAGGAAGCAATGTAAAATAAAAGGCTGAAGCATTCACATTTCAAGAGGTAGAGTGATTATTCTACTACCTGAGGAGGAGAGGATATGACAGGTGTTTAAATGTCTCCATGTAGTGCATGTTAGTTCTTTCTTTTAGCTTTGATGTGATTTTCCCAGTTTAATTTACATGGTATAGCTTCAAAAATAATAATAAAAAAAAGATATTGTAGAGCTATCATGGCAAGCTTTTCATATGGTGTCAGTTTGGGATAAAGGAATAAAAAGTTCTAATAATATTTTTCAAGCATTAATCTCTGCAAGATGTCATGAAGACCAGAATTAGAGCAATATGTGGTCTTTGCCATCTTTGACTGTTGCGACTCAAAGACACTTTTGATCACTTGAAAATTCAACACTTAAAAAGCATACAAACCAGTAGAATTTCCACAACAATCCAGTTCCCCATTTACATCCCAACAGGGTCAATTTTCAATGCATTTCATATAAGAAAAAAATATACTGTTCTCACGATTGTTTGTGTAGCTCTGCACACCCCATGCTGTAAATATACCCCGCAGCCTCAGATCCATGCTGTGACCAACAATATATGCCCAGTGGGCTAGGCTAGCAATGTCTACTGTATGTTTATGGTCTTTCCTTTTTGTAAAGCTGCTTCTTCCTCTGTCGTAGCCTGGCAGTATAGCTTTCTATAGTTTGGGGTATTATAAAGCTGTCCCTAAAAAGCATATTGGAATGCAGCATTTGGACCCACAAACGAAAGCTCAAGCTCTCTACAGAAAAGTCTTTGTTTTCTAAATGATTTCAGGGATGCAGGAGGACAGAAAAGCTGCACAACAACACAGAAGATGTAGATACTGTACTTGTAGAAGATGTAGATAATGCAGCGGCATCTTAGCGCCTCACTTCAGGTGAGAGTTAGGGCTCTTTTACAGTGTGGCATTTCACGTTGGAGTACACTTTAGCTTCCTGAGCTGTGTTGGATATCAAAAGATTCTGAAGTAAAATTCAGTCTCAAAGTCCTTTAAAAATATTGGAAATGACAGCTTGACTGCTCAGAAAGCAAGATTTTTTTTTTCACAAAAACTGAACAGTAGTGTCTGAAATTTCTTTAGAAGAAGGGCAAAGGAAGATGTCACATCTCTTCTAGTCCTATTTTCATATGATTTTGGGAACATATTAGAAATAAAATATATCAATTAATTTGAGAAAAGTCAACCCTTGGCTAATTTTGTGTTTAAGAGGTTCTTGGAGTGGCTGCAATTTTCTAAAATTTCATCCATCCTGTTGTAAAGCCAGGGTTTGAAATCAGACCTGTAAGCATGTTTGCGACTAGTCAGTTAAATCTCACTGTTGTATTTCTGTTTCCTGGTTTGATTAACAGAACCCACTAAAACAGTAGTAATGGAACATGAAAACTTCATGTTGACTTTTCAAATAGGATTTGCATTACTCGAGCCTGTAGTGGAGAGGTATGTCAAGGTAGAATTATGGAAAAATGCCACTAAGTACTGAAATTATTCCAAGCATGTATTCACAGTGT